AAAGAATGTGATTTCCTTCGTAATAGTATACTTGCGTCTAATGACGTAGTAACTAGAAGGAAAATAGCCATTATCCTTAGATTTATTTACTTAACCTTCTGTAGGCGTTTAAGTATTCACATATAAAGTTGTGAAATACCCGCTATTTTATTGTTAGAAGGAATATTTGAACAGGTTTAACGGTTTAGAACGCCATATAAATTGGCCGAAAGATGTTTAACTACAACTTGACGTTTCCGAATCGACTAAATAATGTAAAGAAGTGGACACGTCTCATAAATTTCGACAAATAGTTAAATATCTATACTAATATTATAAAGCTGAAGTTTGTTTGTTTGTACGGGTTAATCTCAGGGAACTAGTGAATCAAAAAAAAAATATATTTGTGTTGGTTTGGCTTATTTTCATTTATCGAGGAAGGCTTTAGGCTATATAGCATCACGTTGCGACCAATATTAGCGAAAAAACAAATAAAAATTAAAGACACGGTCGGCACTCGAACCGACATCTAGGGCGTTGTTATTTCGTTAGTTTTAAACAGTCCATTGTACTGGTGACCATAGACTAGCTAACGACAGTAGGAGCAAATAAAGACCTAGGTCTAATTATTTCAATTCTGTAGCGAGAGCAATGCACGTTGAGTTAATAAGCACTTAACAGGATCAAAGCGCGTATTAACACTAGCAAGACGTATTCTATTCTCGTCGGAAGTTTTCCGTATTGTGACCCGACTAAGTGGAGTGACGTATTTTGGACGCGATCTCGCTTTGAAGGCTGAAGCGAAACAACAAACCGAGTGGCAAGACGTGAAAATAAACAATTACTTGTCTACCGTTGAACTGGCTCGTTAGTTTGCGTATTTAAATAAAACAGTTTAACGGTTTAAAGCGCGATATATATTAGTTGAACTTGTTTGAACGTTATTTCATTGTAGCAGCCGTGGTGACGGGTAGTCTCGTAACCACGACTTTTCACATAAGTTTAAGTAATATATATCGCGTTTTAAACCGTTAAGGTGTCTAATTAAAAGTGTACTACTCGCGCAAACAGACAGTTAACGTTTGCGTATCTCAAGTTTAGCTTAGGTCTGGCTGATGTTACTGCAGCTTATTTGTAGTAGGTGCATTTAAATAACTTACAGCTTTATACTTTACTGGTATAAAATTTGGGACAAGATGGGGTTTACTTGACGGGATGTGAATTACCGAACCAATAACACCAAACAAGACGCCTGTCGGGAATTATTCCGGCTTTGGATATTCGGAAATTCATTATTGTGACACAAGTCAAACGTTAATTACTAAACTCATCTTACCCATTAATGGTTGCATCCGGAAGACATATTTTTGTGTCCGTGTTACTATTCGTAAGGTTCTACGAAAAATTTTTTTTGGCTTTCAGGCGCTTTTGTTGAAAGGGGATACAAAATCGATCGATACGTTGGCTCACTAATATTAGATTAAATGCGCGAAAATGTTATCACCACTACTTGCCAGCTTATCGCGTATTAAACATCGGCACGCATCCTCGAAAACTGTAATTTGCGTCTCTATTTGACCAAGGTCTATAACATCACGTAGAGTAGTAAAAAGGAGGCTGCTAGAGGCACAAGTAGCCTAACTGTAACTTTATTATTTGACTTATTTATACTTTTATAGTCTAAAAATGTTAATCTAACAAGAGCACAGTGACCGAAAATTGTTAACATAATTCTTACACAAATAATAGGAATAATTTATTATCGTCTAAGTTAATTGCGCATTTTTATTTACCTCCTTATTGAAGTTCATGTTGATTGATATTAGGCCACTTTGCCTCTAGCGGACTCAAATATTAGTACGTAGTTGGTATTTGAAGAATACGAGAAACAATGGCGCATATCAAATTCTGACTTCGAAGTTAAAGACACCCTCGATCTTAAGTCCCCCGTGACCACGACCGCTACGAGGCATCCGGAATGTAAGGCCGTCGTTAAAATAAATTGTAAATAAGTTTAACTATAATATTTCGCGTTTTAAACCGTTAAAGGTGTTTTATTAAATTGTGTACTCGCGTAAGCTACAGACAGTATTTTATTGAGAACTACTCATCCAGAAATATATTCACTCCAAAAACCCATACAATAATTTTCTGGTACTCGTTTATCTTGGTTACCAACGCCAGTAGCCGCTGTTCTATAATTTAGAAGCACTATCTGTATCAATCCAATCCCACGAGCTGAATCTAGGCCGATGAGATAGACTGGAGTATTGTGCAGGAGTGCGTCACTTGTACGAGTGGTCTATATTTAACTGGGAAAGGTGGTCGGTGAGGTGTGATGCCAGTAGTCCGTGTAATTCGCCGTCCCTTGAGCCGTGACAGCCTGCCGTGCCCTCGACAATATTTATAGCTATCTCCTATTCTACTCTTCGCTTGTGGAAAATTGTAAAACTTGTACTACGATTGTCGATTTGATTTGCAATAAATCGATGGTGTAAGCCTAAACGGTCTGGGTAGTCAATTCTCATCTAAATGACACGAATAACGGTACTGCAACATATTTCATAATGTATGTCATATTTGTCATTATATTTCTCAAAGGTCGGGCCGTAGTTAGGATTATTTGAAAAAAAAAAAGAAAGAAAAAAGTAGTTCATAATAGCAAAGCAAAATCTTTATATAAAATGCACAAAATTTCATTTGTTTACCTTACTTCATTTGTTTAACAAAGGGCGACTTTTAACTAAGGCCCAACGTTTCGAAAGCTTCGCAGCTGACGTGATTACGGGGATGCGAAACGTCTTTGCGCATGTATAAGTTAACTAATATTTCGCGTTTCAAACCGTTAAGTGTTCTTCTCGCAAAAACTATAGAAACTCGTAAGTGTACCTACGTGAAATTTGACTCTGACTTTATTTCATAACAATTTTTTTCCCACTTCCAGGCGATAAAAGTTAAAATTGTGTGTACACCTAAACGACTTGACGATTTGGCAGTTTAAAAAGGAACTGCCTACTAATAGAGAACGGAACGTAGATATAAAATGAGTATAAAATGTAGGGTTAAAAATTTATTTTACGCATAACAACATACAGTTCGAACTAGGTCGATATTATAATCACCTCAATATCATGATTACTAATGATAATATCTGCTATAATATAAAACTGTAATACAAAACTACAAAGTAACTTTGGATTTCCAACACAAGTACGTACCGAACTTGTTACAACGTATCTATTTAAACTTATAGACGTTACGTTACGATGATTCGTACGTTACGTTCAAAATGATTAATTCATTAAAAAGATTAAGGCCACTGGTCAGTCGGTCAAATAAGGGGTCCCCAATTCAGATAATTACATTCAAGATTAACATGCAAATTTCCTAATTTGATGGTTAATTGGTTTTAAAATAAACTAATACAATATTTAAAAAATAAAAGCCAGTCCTGTATTCCTAATTCTATTAAAATTGCCACGAAAATTATCTTGCCAACTAAAATCCTGTATTAAATAAAACACATTTAACGGTTTTAAACGCTAAATATACCTAGGTAAAGCAAATCTTTGGATGCATAACATTAGGAACGTCGCATCGTAATAAGGAATTAACGTAAATGTTAAAAATATTTTCTTTAAATTATATTTGAATAAAATCTCTACTTGTGTAAAGTGATGACAATACTAAAGAAATATGCTTATTCTCCCAGGTTCCAACAAACCTTACAAATTTGATGTAAGATTTGACTAATAGTCAGTAAGTTTTGGCCAAACGAATTTTATATGAAAAATGTACATATCACAAAGTCAAATCTCAACTAAAATTGAGGAAAAAAACGCCCATTGCCTGGTAAACAGAAGGATTTGTGTAAACATAGTAATATGTTGCAACACTACGAGACAAAGCTTTTTAATCTATGTTTAGTGTCTTGGCAAATATGTGCTAGCTTACTGAAGGAATATCTTAACATATTATATGATGATTTCATGTATATAATATAATATGAACTAACATGACAATAAACTGCTGTGATTATTACTTTTACATTAAAACATAAAACAGAAGATTGATGGATTTATGTAAATGCAAATTGGTTTGTCATTTTCTCGACACTGTAAAATCTGAACAACAAAACTTCTATAAACTACAATAAAAGTGTTTGTCATTGTTATGAAACCCTAGATTTCAAACTTTCACTTAGCCAATATCATTGGAACATTCACAAAACAAGAGCAGAACGATCTGTTACAGTAAATAATAAGACTTTCATAATTTTTCCTACGTATTAGGTATTTCCTCAAAGTATATAATACTATTAGTCCCTTGTAGATATTTATATGAAATTCTGACGGATTTGACACCACAAATGTTTTAAAAATTTGACCCTAAAAAACTAACTATGCGCATAGTCACCTATTCCTAACAATCAGGACTAGTTCAAGTTAAAGATAATTAATACATAAATGAATATTATTATGAGAGACAAAAGGACAGATAATACTAAAGCAACACCGTTTATCATGGCCATAGTGGAACATAAATTACCATACTTGATCTCGAGTGTAAATAGCTTAAATCCACGTTTTCAACTAGAAAAACATTGCTATCTGGTGTTACAAGGTGAATCTAAACTTGGAGTACTTTTGTTTAGCGAAATGAGTATATACGTAAGATAATTTTAATTTTATTGACATGAATAATAAATATAAAAGATATAGAAGCTAAATACGCTATAAATATTTTAAGTTATTATATATCATAAGAGAAATGTCTTAAGAAAAAAAAATGTTAAGATTCTAAAGAAATTTAGATGTGAATGTAGAATATATTTCTCCATAGAATACAACCAATTATAAAACTAAAAAAAATATTTTAGTATTGAGACTACAATTAATTAGTACTTTTTTGATAATAGATTAATCTGTCTTTAGATTACTCTGTTCCAAGGTAAAAGATTACTGCTCTGACTGATTTTTCAAAGAATAATAATTGATTTACTGTATCTTAAGTGTACATACCATTTGGCCCATATTTGTCCTGGTTCCTTTTGATTTGATCTGGTGTTAGACCCTTGTCTGGATCCGTGCCGAAGAATCCTAAGACCTCGTCCACGGATTTCGAGTGAGCGTCCTCCATGGTTAAATTACTACGTTGCCGTCAGTTCTAAAAATCAAAGAAAAGCTTAGGTTAGAAAATGACAAGTCATCATCACTTCTTAAACTTATAGGTTATGCTGATTTTTAATAGTTGACACAACATTACTATATGTGACTCATAAAATACTTCTTTTGTTTGATGCTATGGTGGAAATATAGTATTTCATAAGTTGAGATAACCTGATGGTTTTTTTATTTGAAAAGGAAAACAAGAAACGCAGACTAGCTTCCGATAGATTAAATTTTGTCACATAACAATTAACCTACGCACTTTGTAATTTAATAAAGGGAATGATTAATTGAGTCAAAAGATTAAAGCGATCCTAACAAGCAATATCCTTCGCTATAAAGGATAGTTTTCAAAATGCACTTCACTCACCGAAAATTCGCCTATTACATGAGCAAGTAAAGCTTTTAAAATAATCACTTAACATATATAGTTTAAGTTGTATACTACGACGTAAATTATCTTAAATTTGTACTACTTTAATACTATTTCTCGTAAATATCATAAACCACACCAACACGTATTTAACTGATCCGTCATTTTTTCATAGACTGACGTAGAAAAATGTCATTGGTCTGAGCGCCATCTATTACGCACGACAAGAAATACTAGGGTCAAATGATGCTCTTTTATTAGTTAACTATCGTGTAAAATAGGAAATAAGTATGAAAAGACTAAATAATTATTAAGTTTTCTTCTTAATATGATTGCAGTATTAGGAAATTAATTAATATTAAGTAAGAACATTTTAAATTATACAGAAATGTGGAGCTCCGCTATAGGTGGATAGTGTACCACGTGATACAATGCTATTTTCGTCCATTGGGCGCCTAGAAAGTGCGGTATTTTTAAAATTTCGAAACGGCTACATAATTTTCTTCGCGTTATGTAACACTATCACTTGAACATTTTCACAAATCCCTCACGGCGATAATAAGTCACTTGTTTTCACACACGATGTTAATACACTCACGGTTCGTGTTAAATTTATTGGGACTTACTGAAAAACTTTTTTTCGACAGCTTCGGGAAGGAAAGAAGAAGTAAGAGTGACGCGGGAGATGTTTTCCCGCCGCGCCCCGAGTTGCGACTCCCGGGCAGAGAGCGACGTTTTTAGAGCGGCGCGGGCGCAGCGGAGGGACATCGACAGAGATTTCTTTAATTATTTTGGCAACAGTACTCGATGGCACAGTCGCCTCGCTTTCCAGGGTTGCATGTCGCACAACCATCGCTGTCAGCTTTGATAATCTTTTTATAGCGGTCGCAGCCCGGGACGAGCTCTCGCGGTATTTTATTGGGCTGCCATTTTCCATTGTTTTTCTTTCTATTAAGTATGATTTATATGCTAATTGGATTTTTTGTCTTACCGGTGTATAAAGGCCAGCTAGATCGGGTGTATTTTTTGATCGTAACCTACCTACCGTTTCTCGACCAAATATTTCGCTCCCGGCTCAGGGCCAGGGATTTCGCTGACCCTCACCTTGTTGTAAGGTTATGGTTTTTTCAAGATTTACTGGCGATATATTAAGCATATGAAAAACTTTTTACATTGTTATTTATTTAATTTATTATAATGACTTAGAATAATTAGTAAATAGTGCTTTTTTTAATATAAAAAAAATACGAAATGTATCTTTTGATAAACTATTAGTTTTCTTCGTCTTCAAGAAACAATTCTGCGATTTAAGAATTTGGCTAGCAACATGGAATGCAAACATTACGTTCTACGTAAGGATTATGTAAGTGAAGATTCATCTTATGTGTAATGGAATGTATATTGTGTAAAAACCTATATAATGTAACACAACCTAAAAAGTAAAAACAAAACGACTAAACAAGAAATACTTCTTTTCAATATTCTTAGTGTAATAATATGGGAACTGTCAGTAGAATAAATATGATAGGTAATAGTTAATAAGCTTAAATTAACATGCTGAACGATTAAAAACGCGAAATATATTAATTAAATTCTTTTTATTTTATTTTAACTTCGGCCGAAGAGCGAGTAGTCGCGGTCACCGGGGGGCAGTCTTCTTGTGACCACGATTGTAAACAAAATATATTTAGCGTTTTAAGCAGTTAAAAGTGTTTTAAATTAATTTGTACTACTCGCGCAAACGACAGACAACCTTGTTTTATTGAAACTGCAGTTACATATATCTACAATTATAAACTTAGTGATCATTTTAAACAAGATACATATAAAATACTGTCTCTAGTTTCAAAGGTTTAAAACACGATATATTAGTTAAACTTATTTGAAAATGATTTTTAACTTCGGTCCAACGTTTCGGATGCTTTGTAGCAGCCGAGGTCATGGGGATACAAATCATAATTTATTTAAGCAGAATTTCAAATGACATGTTCCTTTACGTTAATGAGTATAAATGCCGCAATACAAGCTTTGTTTTCTCTAGACTTTTTGTCGTAAGGAAAGTAATCCTTATATGTTTGTGTCTTTTGTAAGACTTATTTGTTATCAATAGAAATTGTATTTTTGTTGAAGTACCACACAAGTCATCAATGCCTTAAATTTGTATAACCAATATAAATGTTATATGGCAATCTTATTTTGGCCATATACCTTATTTCTTAACTTATCGTAAGTGTGAAACAATACTGTGCCACGAAGTACCGTCTGCATTTTACGCGCGTAGTATAAATAAAACACCTTTAAGGGTTTACAACGGCGAAGTATATTAGTAACAAAACTAAAATCCCGTTTCCCCCTTAGGGGCATGGGGCAAACACATTTCTGTGCCCATTTCACTCATCGATTACCCTACCCGAACTAAACAATCCATTGATTGTTTCTTTAGGATTCAACGATAGGACCTCTTAAAGCAATTAGCCAACACGTTCAACCATATAGTTAAAGAAGCGGCCAACATATTAGATGACTTATTTACTACGTCCCGAATTTGTTTTGCATCCACGCATTCCAACAAGTCAAGTCAATATTTCAGGTATAAAACCGTTAGAGGTGTTTTATTTAAATTTCATTAAACTCAGTGCAGCCATTTTGAAGCAGTTCACGTACGAATATTGGACCAGGAGAATTTTATAAAATGGATCGTCTTCTAACAAACAGCTGTATACTAAAGGACCCTGAGCATATAGTATTGAAATTGTTTGGCTACTGAAGACTCACAGATTTGGAGCGTGGCCGACAGTTCGACATTGCGATACGTATAGGACACGATAGATATAGGACACTTTCTGGCAGAGATGGACGTCTTTTGACAATGATCTATGCGTCTGTATAATTTACCACATGACAACCGCAACGGACAGACGGGATGGCATTTATATTATATTAATCGTTATTGGACCAGTTGTCAGCATAGGGCCTTGATATATGTGAAAAAAACCCACCAATACCAATTTAATTTTCAAATTGTATGTTATACATATATTATCTCTAGTACACTAATATTATAAAGTTGAAGCGATTGAATAAAAGCGCTTATCTCAAGAAGTAAGATTCGAATTGAAATTGTATTTTTGTGTTGAATAGACTCTTTATCGAGGAACGCTACGACCATGAGGGGCAAATGAAATGTGGAAAGATTGGTCATAATGTATGAGGACTTACGTGCGCTGCAAAAACGGTTAAATATGTATGAAAGAGTGGTTCGTCTTCAAATGATCTTAAATAGTCTATTATGTTGTCCGCAACAGTATATGCCTGTATTTTAAAATTTTCTTACAAAAGCCGTTTTAAAGTTATCTAATAGTGCATTATTGCCAAAGATTGCTTAGAGTGGTATCAATATTAATCTTGCAAATAACAAAGCAACGTTTGCCGGAGCAGCTATTTAAACATATTTGGTAATATAAGTCTAGAGGATACTTCCGTGCAGGTCAAAAACTTCCAGGGATTAAAGCCTGTGAGGGGCGAAACGGCGGTGTGAAATTAGGATAATCAGTTTGCCGCATTTATTCGCGTTTTAAACCGTTAAAGTGTTTTATTTAAATGTGTATACTCGCGTAAACTACAGACATTTTAAGTTTATAGCTGTATCCAATTCCAGTCCTCTGTAATTTACTATTATTTATTTATCATTTATTATTTTTTTTCCCTCTCAGCAAATCCATCAGATAGATGGCGCTGATAACATGATTATGTGGGATACTATTATTTGCTTGTTGATTATAAATAAACTGATCGAAACACGTGGAAAGGATTTTTTATAAGTACCTAGCTTTAAAGTATTATTTTCAATACTTTAAACATCTATGTTTGTCAAAAATGTGGGATATAAAAAAATAGTATTAATTCACTAGTACTCAGGATTCGATAACATTAAAAAAGATATATAATAAGCTACTTTTTAACAGCCTGTTTTAAATGTTGTGCACTATAAAATATACTTGCCATAGTAATAATACTTATGACACGACTGTGTTAAGAGTAAGTTTATTTTCAAATTTGTTTTGCCGCCTACTTACCTAAGCCAAGAAAACAATCATTCGTTAACGAATAATATTAGTAACCATTACTTCAAAATTTATATTTTTCACATATGAGTAAAATACAAATAATATCAATCACGCCAATTGACTCAATAAAGTGTATATTTATCTGTGCACAATATTTCTATTCGTAACGATATAATAGCGGTTATGATTTAAATATTGGATAAAATCCCATAGATAATGTATAATGAGATTCGAAATATTCATATAAACGTTTTTCCGGCGAGCGACGTAAAAAATGTCAGCCTTGTGTTTGAAGCCGTGGAAATATATTCGGCGAGTGAAAATAGAAAATCAGAGAAACAGTTGAATGCCAATGTTAACATCTATTTCAGTAGCTGGAATAAAAAACGCATTGAATACAGAATATAAATATCGCATGTTCTCCCCGTTGGTAATTATCATTTCTTGAATATCCATAAAGAAAATAAATCGAAACAACTGTGTGTAATCTATAAATTTTGTCTCTTTGTGAATTTTAATGCGTTTTCGAGTGAAGTACGTTTTTATTGCTCGTTTTCAGACATCAGAGGAGAAGAATGGCTTCTTTTGTATATTATGCGAGGAAAATTCCACATGGCTACGTCATTCAAAATTAAGTTCTTATTCATGGTGGTTTAATTCAGTACTTCAAACACGCAACAACTATAAACACTATGACGTGTTGATTGTATTTTATTTGCTTTGTCGTGTAAACAGAGCAACAGGAGAATCTTATTAACCCTCTATAGACGTATCCAGTAATAAACCTGACACAACGTCCCTATTCACCTTACTCTATAAATTTGCTGGGTGTATTGAAAGCTGTATCATGTATCTGCGAATAGATAGAGGAAATCTACACTTATAAAACAAGCTTTTAAAATTCCTAGATAATGTAACGAGCCCGAATACGCTATTGCGTACGCGCTATCAAAGAGCAAACGTAAGGCTATTCGTCATTCGAAATAAACAGGCGAAGGTAATAATCGAAATAGAATTATAGTGCTTGAGAGTGTTGTAATCATCTACTTTGGCAACCACGACTTGTCAGTTGGCGAAAGCGTAGAAGGGATTAAAAGGTATTCGTTGTGACGCGTTTGATCACTCATAATTTAGTGATAACTCTCTGCTCTTTGTAATTTGACCGTTAACAAATACTATCTAAAGAAGGGGAACTATAGTAGACCCCGGTGCAACGTCGGTGCGTTGTAAGTCTATGTTACATAAATATATTATAGTTTTTGAGATTTGAGTTTTGATTATTCTTATTATATGACGTCTAAGCATAAAAACAATAAAAATTACTCTCTATTTGAACTCGTCTTTATTTAATATTTTAAAGATACGGTAGATTGTGAATTTCTTTTATTGATAATCTTTTTCCTTTCCATTTATAAAACAGAAAATAAATTATGACTGCACCTTTGTGGTAAAAAACAATTCATTCAATTTAGGGGCAAATAATTCTGGAAGACAAAGGTCTGGCAATAGTTCATCTTAATGTAAGTGAAGAAATACAAACTTCCACAGAGTACCAAGTGATTCTAAACAGAAAAATAGTTTAATAAACTTTCCCTCTATCAAGATTATTAGGTACGGATTTTTTCAGTTCTTATAATCATATTTTCTAGAAATTATTAAATAAAAATGGTGACGCTCTTCTAATGAGTAATGGCGAACAGCCAACTCAGTGGGGAGCTTAGGTTCTTGAAATACTGTTACAATAATAAACATTTATTGATAGATATAACTAAGATAAGTACCCAATGGGTAACAAACTATCTCAATATTTTATATGGTTTTTGACTACTTGACAATTGACAAGACATCGATGGCCCAAATTTACCAGTTA